TGACTCTGTACAGCTTGTGTCTGTATGCTCTCAGACACAACTTAAAACAGGTACAGCACCAGCACCCTTAACAAATAGCAGGTCAGAAGAGAAGTAGTATACAGGCGTATAGTTAATTGAGAGATAATGTGGAACAAAAGTCAGAGCATACTGCTGCCTGCACTGTGTGAGTGTGACCCCCCTGCTGTAGAGTGGGACCCTACAAGCCTTCCAGGCCCCAGTGAGACTTTCCAGGCTGTCAGGAAAGGTGGGTAATGTGCCCCCTGCTGGGAAAAAGCCACAGTGCACTTGAATATTACAATGGAAGGGAAGCATTAACACATGTCCTCATTGACCTCAGCCTGACCCCTCTGTTTGACAAGGCCAAGAGCTGACCTGAGGCTCAGAAGACCACACTTCAAGCTTTCTGACACTTCGGAGAAAGTTTTGATAAATTCAGAGAATTCTAAAAATGTTTCTGGAAGTGTGGGTGTGTGGAACTTGTTAATCCAAGGTTGCCATTCTCGTACAGGTGACATTCTCTGCCCAGCCACGGGTTCGACTGCTCTGGAGGCCTTTGTTCATTCTGCTCTAGCAGGGGAGCCTTCAGATCGTGGCTGATCTCTGGTCTCGCTGAGTATTAGATCCATGGCTATGGTAGGTCACTGGGCAATGGTGCCATTGTGATGAAAGGTGGAGCAATTGTACTCCTCAAAGCTGGATCAGGAGTTTGTCTTCTTTCACACTACTAGTACGTCAGTGCTGCGTTTTAATGGTTTTATTAATGTCATAAAGATATAAGATTCACCTGACGAACACCTGAAGGCATATTTTCTCACTGTGTGTCCAGTGCCAGATCCTCTGTGTGTAGCACTTCCTCAACTCAAACACCCTGCTGTTTCTGAATGACTGTGAGGTCAAGGCTGGGATAACTGTGATGATGTAATTAAGATACAATGGCTGCAATATTCTGTATTCCAGAGGGAAGTTAAAGTTGAAAGACATTTTTGCCGTTATTGTGACAGAATGGGGATATAGAGGAAGTGAGTTCAGGGACAAGAGTGCTAGGAAGACCTCACTCTCTGTAGCCCTGGTTGCTAAAGTTTGTTGTCGTCCCGTGGGAGCAGGGCAGAGAAAACTACATTTCCCAGCGAGCAATGGGAATGATGTCAAGCTTATTTCCTGGCTTAGGAGCCACAGATGATGTCACTTGGTCTGTGTCTCAAAGTATCAAAGGGCATGGCAAACACAGATCTAGATCTCTTATCCGAAAGCTCTTTCTATGCTTCACACCATCACATACTGATGATTTTTTTTAAGACACTTGTTTCCTCCAAAAGCAAGTATTACTACATTGTTTGACTAAAAGCTTTATCCACAGGGACTTCTACTTGTTCTACTATTAAGAGAGCTGGGTACAGTAAGGGGCAACCTGAGCAAAGCACCTTGCTTGAGTTTCCAGCAGCAGTGCCCCAGACGGGATTTGAACCAGCAACCTTCCAGCTGTGACCCCCAAGCCCTGACCACTACTCCACAGTCCACTTGCCCATTGCCAGCAGGTTGTCTCCATCACTGTCAGTCCTGTTCAAATCTGAAACACTTTTCAGCTGAACCACCTCAAGATTTAAGAGTCCTAAGACTCCAGCGTGAGGAAGAGGAATAGATTCCTAATGAGACAAGTCCTGATTAAAAGCACCCCCCACCCCCCAGCCTGCCTGTACTCATACTGCACTGACAATCGTGGATACTCACGCCCTGCTGAGTACAGGAACGGACAGTTAACTCCACCCACAGAAGTAAACTAAATTACTGTTCCTCAGTGAGAGGTACATCTATTACTGTGTTTTTGTTTGTGTTTGGAAATTACCATCTCTGAATAATTATCCTACCAATGTTTGCATGAAATATTTACAATTACAAACTTCTGTTTTTTAAGCCTTGGAGTACTTTGTTTTTACAGAATACACTTTTCACAGGTGAACTCTTGTTTATAAGAGGCACTGTACTGTAGGTCTGTCTGCTGCCACATTACTTGTGATTCTGGAATTACTGACTATACTGTATATTAATATGAAGCCAGTCAATACTCCGGGGACAATAATGTGGCCTGTGGTAAAGGCAGCGACTGTTCTGAGCTGAGATAAGGAATTTCTCTGATGAGCAGCGATACTGCAGAGGAAGGAGGCTGTGTACTACAGTGTCCAGAGCTGCAAATAACCTGTGGCTGAGAGCAATTTATACTCCTTAAAATAGCTCCAGAAGGACTACATCTTACAGAAAATTGCATCATGCTAACTAGTGACTGGGTGGCGTCTCAAAACAAGAGTTTTATAAGGATGTTTCTATTTTTTTCCAAACAGGAATGCTACTACCAATATCAGCATGAGACTCAAATGGCAGCAGAATGGCAGCAGAAAAGGCATTCTTATACTGTACCTGTGTTACAAATTCATACTTCAACACAATAACACTAGAAATGAGAATAATGCACTTCAATCCTGTAGATAAACTTATCCCAGACAGGTTTTTCCATGCCTCTGCAACAAATAATCTCAATTTAGAAAGTTATTCAAATGAATATATAAGAATCAATTTGACACCACCATACTCTTCTCCTCTGGTCCATGTAAGATCTGTCTATGGCAAGTTACTGAGCTTTGCCAGTGAGTCTGTTCTGGATATACATGAGCTGAAAACTGAGTGACCCTGTCGAAGAGGATTAAGGTCTCCCGCTAGGTTGGGATAACACCATGAATCCCGGGTGTTTCAGCAGCTGTGAACCGGGGCACCCCAGTCCCCGGCAGCACTGCCCCCTACTGGCAGGTGACCAGCTGTGCCGCTGTGGGACCATGACACACAAGAGCTTCACGGCACCAGGGTCTTGTCTGTGCTGGGGTTTCTTCTTGACCTGCATTGCAATAATAGGGTTCAGAAGCAACGCCCTCTATACACAAGCAAAAGGTGGCCTCACACTATCTGGGTGTGCAGTTTCAGCTGAGCTTATCAGCTCTGGCTGCCTTGGCAGTAAACGCCCCTCCCTTCTGACAGACCGCAGACTGCAGTCATATGTACTGATAGACTTACGTCTGAAGTAAGAGAGGAATGGTGTACGATATCCAAAAATTCTGGCTTACTCTATATATTAGTTTTTGATTTATTTTTTACACTAAGGCTACAGTGCTTTTCAGACAGTTATGAAGTTTTACTACAACTTTGTTGTCATGCGGGGCACAACACCAATTTACAATTATCTAAAACTTATCAGAACATGTTTATATACATGACGCAGAATATTAATATAAAAAAAATTATAAAAATGTTAGTTCTTGGGTAACACGCATAAACCATTTTAAAAAAATATTTACAGAATCTATTTATTCTAATGGGGAGTTAATTCAATGAAAGTTTTCACTCTTGAAATAAGAAAACTGCAGAGCTGAAATGAATGCAGATGTGATGGGACAACATTGGTCTCACGTGTGTAACAAACAGTTCTTTCCGGACCCTATGCGGACGACACAATCCGAAGAAGTGGGGAAACACCGGGGAAACGTCATGCAGGAAAACGGGGCTGAAAACAGGGGGGCGTGTCCAAAGTGCGCTGGTGCACGGGGAGGTGTGGCCGAGGCGAACAATCCAAGAGAGTAATCCTTAGAGAGTATCCAAAAATACGAGAGTAAGTCCAAAGCCAGGAGATCCATCAAAACAAGGAATTAAAAACCATGAACCGGGTCGGAACCGGCGGACTAGGAACAGGAACAGAGGTTAAAACCTTAACGGGACCAGGTGCTTCCAGGTCCCGGACTCGCACGGTGCGGAAACCAGATGCAGAGCCAGGATGAGCGTCAGCGCCTGGTTTTTAAGGTGGGCTGGGTAAAAGGGATCAGGTGCACAGAATGAAGTCTAAAGTGAAAGGGCTGGAGCACCCTTAAGGATGGGGAACTATAATCGTGACAACGTGGCTTTAAGGTTCAGAGAAGGACAGCCAGCAGACCATGAGCACAACCTCTATCCCCCGCAGGAATTAAATAAAGACAAAGCAGTACCAGCAAGAGTCGAAGAAGACAGATTATCAAGCTCTACAGAAGAAACTCTGAAGCTCCAGCATCGTGATTGGAGACATGATTGTCCCAGTGTCACAGACAAGGGTTGGGTGACTTTTTTTCTTAAATCTTTTAATCCGATAAATCTTTGGGGAACAAATTCTCCTTTACAGTGATGGCCTGGAGAGTACCCACTTGGCATGGCCTGTACTAGAGTTTTCTTTCCTATGGTCACAACAGCAGAGCAGCATCTTTAACAAGTGTAACAATATTTACAAGTTTTCAAGAAAAACTATCCTAATCTTGCACTTCCAATCGACTGCGTTTGTAACTCTCACACCCGGGACGTTTCCACAGTGTGTCCCTCTCTTTCGGCACACATCCTCCCAGCGCGGTGTGCCTCACTCTGTCACAGACGGACCAGTCCTGTGCTCACCGTTGCAGAGACCTTACCTTCACCTCGTTCATCCAGGATCGGAGTCTCTCGTCTCTTCAGCCTCATGCTTCACTCAAAACACAGCAGCTCTGCGCCCAGCGTACCGCCTGCCTGTGTTTCTCTTTCGGGCCTCCTGATGAAAGCAAGCCCCCCAGGATCTCCGAGCAGCTGCAGGAGCTGCCCACACAGCAGTTTATCCTCCTTAGGTCTTTTTCTCTTCTTCTTCGTTCTCCTCTGTCCCCTCCTCTCTCTCCATTTCTGCTTGAACAGCCAATCTACCCCAGCCTTGTTCTGTCTCTGCCATCTCCCCAGTCCTTCTTTGTCCATTGCAGGAGCCCCACACAGAGGCTGTTCGCACTGCACCCAGTTTTCCCCACTCAGCCCCACACTGTCTCTAGCACATGGGCCAAGGCAGCTACAGTGATGGTACCCCCGTCCAGCTGGTACTGCAAGTACTATCATTTGACCCTTCTCTGCCCCATGTCTTTAACTGCATACTGTACATTTCTTTATTTTAATAATAAAAAGCAGCAAACCCCTCATTGCAGTTAAAATATTTTATTAAGCCCATTTCTGTGTCAACAGCACGAGATATTTAAAGTGAGAAATGTGGAAAACAATCTTACAACGTGCTTAAAGGAAAAGTGGAGCTTGCCAGCGTTACCCTCTAGCCCAGCTGTCAGACAGACGAATGTGTCCCTTTGTTCTCCATTCCTCCAAAATGAAATTAAATTGCTCCTAGAATCATCATGATACCTTAGCTATCCCCCAGACTGTGCTTTATTGAACCTAGAATTTTTCCACCTTTCAGAGATGTTGGGCTTCAGCACCAACATTGCTTTTCTTTGGATCTGTAAGGACTTCCACTTGGTGCTCACCTAGTGCTCACCTGTAATGTCTTAATTCAACTGCAGATTTCGAAACATGTAGCCACATTATCCATGACTATTCTGTTTTAATATGCCTGTCATTGTTCAAACGTCTCTCCAGACCACCGCTAATCTAAAAGACGACCCGGAGTCTCTCACCCAGGCAAACCAAGCAGTGGCTGTGGTAGTGGCTACAGTGCACCCTGCATGCCCAGGTCTCCTCTCTCCACAGGAGCCCAGAGCGCCTTTCTCGTGTGCTGCCACTGTGTGCTTTACTGACACGGAAGCACAAGCGTTGGAAAGAATTTTCTTTGGCAAGTCTGGTTGTCCGACCGGCAGACTGCACGCAAGATGTTGAAGCCTCCAGGTCCTTCTGCGCACACGTGCAGGAACAGGACACGCGCTGCTCTGTGAATGTGCAGGCGGTATGCGATTCGGACAGTGGGCACAAGGCAGGGCCACAGGTCTACTGCAGGCTACACACGCATAAGTGTGAAAATACAGAGGCGCTATATTGTATGTATGACTGTATGAGGTGGGAGGAGACCAGGGCACCAGGAGAAAATACACATGGCCACTGGGAGGTGTGGGGGGGGAATTTGGGAAGTTTAGTAGCAGTGTGACAGCAGGGCAGTAGGCTCTTCACATCAGGCAAACCAAAAGTCTCCACTGCCCCCTCTACAAAACAATCGTCACAACGTTTCTCTCTCTACAGTGTCACAACACAAATTTTAAATTAGCATATTGCCACTCTTCCCATTAACATATTTTAAAAATATTAACATATTTTTTTAAAGATGCCACGTTTGCACCTTTGGACACTCACACAAGAAATTCAGACTGCAGCTCTGACTGGCCTGTTAGAATTAGTGTCTTAGATCTGACACTACATTTTCCAGGAGAGGCAGGCAAGACTCCATATGTACCTTTTTTACAGTATATACACACGCTTAGTATATATACTGTATATGCGTATATACACGAATATTCAAATCTATTACATTTAAATAAATGTAAATTAAAGTTTAGCATTGGTGGTAAAAACAATATATCTAACATATAAGGCAACTGGAGAGTTTCTGCATTTTTTCAATGCAGTTTTCCGTTACGTTTTGGAGGTAGAAAATGTCAGAGGATTAAGACAGTAGCACATCACCAGGAACAGCTTTTCAAGAAACCCACGGATTCTCGGTCTTTGCTGATGAGGCCACTGCGGAGTCTGCCCAGGTGAAAGAGGAGTGGAAGCACAGGGCGCACCCAGGCCAGTCTCTCTGGGCTAAACACAGGCAGAGCCATGCGGAGCAAAATACCCTTCAAACACGACCACGTTTGCATATTTTGTCTACATTCAAAATATCTTTGTGTGCATAAAGAAGGCTATGCTTCTTTTCCAAGCACTGCATAATAAGGCATTTAGCTGTATGACAGCAGCAAGATGAACAGAGACGGAAAGAGACGACGTGTGAACAGCAGACGTGGATATTTGTCAGCGGAGAGCAGTGTTTCCCAGTTCTGATCCGTGTCTGGTTTTCATTCCTGCTGAATTTCACTCGCTGGGCTCCTCGAGCTCTTCAGCTGAAGCGCCTGTTGTCATTTTAAAACTGTTTCAGATCTTTTCCCACTCCTTCAGGCTCACCCTGTTAAGGACTGTGTTGATTTTAATCGAGGGGCCTCCGCAGTGCTGAGGAGACTGTACCAGTGTCACTCCCAGCTCTGTCTGCACAGCGGTGACTGATAAACAGTCAGAGATATTTAGAAAGCTATAGGGGAGCAGCTATGTGAAACCAAGACTTCTTCACTCACTCTATGTTTTGGGGGGGCTCGTTTGTGCCCTGAACGCGGACCCCAATTAAAACCCCTCGGCGGGTTCAGTTAGGCTCCTGTAACGGGTGGAGGGCTGGGCTGAAGCCCAGAGGACGCAGGGGCTGTCCGCGACCAGGGCTGGGAAAGGCCGGTGGCCGGCTCACCAGAGCACAGGGTTATCCAGGTTGGCAAAGCCTGGATCTCTCCTCAGCTCCCAGTAGGTCTTGTTGCTCACCCACGTATCGTCACTGGATTTCCTGCAAAATTAAAAAACAGAAAATCGCACCAGGCTGGAGTGCAGCAGCGTCCTTCAGCGCTGCAGCGCAACACGGAGAGCCCTGAGGAGCAGTGAGGACGCGGGGCGGCTCTGCTCACCGGAAGAACCGGGGCTGGTGACACATGCTGTTCTCCTCCAGGACCCGGCGCCGGTCCCTCTGGAGCTGCTCGATCCGCTGCTTCTGCACCTCGGCGGCCTCCACGTTCCCCTCCTCCAGCAGCCTGCGACAGGCACGGGTCTGTTACCGCGGGAACGAAGGGCCGAGCCTGGCTCTCGCCGGCCCTCCGGGAATCAGGGAACCCGGATAACGGGAAGCACATTTTGGCGGGCAGCAATAAAAACGGAAACTCTCCGCCTTCCCACTTACAGGGGTTTTAAGGAACCATCTCCTTTATCTTCAAAGACACAAAGTGTTTATTTCCTTCTTCGGCAGGGAACTTTGTGATTCGGGAACATAATGGTTTGCAGGCGCCCACTGGGCTGCGGACTATATTCTGTAGGAGCTGTTACTGAGCAGGGGCCTAAAAGAAAAGATTACTTCCTGCCTCCTCTGCTTGAGCCTTGATGATGAGGTTGCAAAGGCATGTCAAAGCACCCCACTGTGCTCTTCTGGAGCACTGGCGTTTAGTAAGCCTGCCATGTGGAAGCTACAGTGGCACCTCATGCACTTTTAAGAGTTGTTGCAGACAATGTGATGTGTTACTGAACATCAACACACACAGCACCTTCAGCAGCATCACGTTTCTTATCTTATGCAGCCTGTTTATATGCACTGTGAAGCAGCAGAGAGAAGCTGTTACTCTGTACCCATTCAAGCAATCCGACGAAATGAAGCCCAAGCACTTTTCCTACCACAGTTTATAACGAGCCAGGTGCTCTGAAGCACTTGAAAAAGGGCTTGTATTTCTTCTGAAATACTTCCTAGATGCTAATAAGACATTTCTTCACATATATATATGAATATAAAAAATTAAAAAATAGGAAATATAGTACAGCCTAAATAACTTTACAAACACACATACACAAGAGCTTTTTCACCCTTCATTCCTCTCTTTTAAGCTGCTGTCTTTGTCAGGAAAAATAAAGCCTTAACTGATCAGGGGACGACACTGAAATATAATTTTCTATCAATCAAAAAGAGAGAATGAAATGCAGAAAAAAAAGCTTCTGGGCTGAGAACAATGGATCTCATTTCACCGTCCGAAACGACTGAGCAGCGCCAGGAAAGGGGCGCTGCAGTGGGATGAGAGCTGTTTGTACTGAAAGTGTTGTGAAAACAGGTGCTTGTCGGAATGTGTGCTTCCCAAGGGCACGGGCCTGCTGGGAGATGAGGAGTTCTCCTCCGGTGGGGCTGAGTGCCTCTAATTCACTGGCAGGAGGGCCTCATTCATTAAGACATTGAGGAAATGCTGTTAAGACTAATTGTGCTGCGGATCTCTGATCTGTCAACATCCTCATACAGCAGGAGAGGAGGTCTCCACAGATTGTAGAGCTGCAAGAATATGTGATGCGGTTTTTATTTCTTTCAAAAATTCGCCTAACTCTGTGTTCTAATTCCATCTATCCTCACATCATGTCTCACACAAAACCAGAGGCATGGTCAGTCCACAAGGACAAAGCACCAACAGCGCCACCTGCAGACAGGACTGCATTTACTGCAGGTTGACTCATGCATTCAAGTGTTCTCCTTTCTTGAGTTCTATTACTTTTTTCAGAGTAATGAAGGCTGAGTGCTGATCCTTGTTTGGTAAATTACTGCAATCTTAACGCACAGCAAGGCAGAGAGTGCAGTCCCTCATAGTGCAGGAGGCAGTGAGATGACCCCTCTTCAGTTACAAGCAGACTGTAGTTGAAGCACGCACATGAAGTGAACACTGACAGCCACAGTGAAGGCCATGCAGAGAGCTGTGTACAGCTCACCCAGTAAAGTATGCAGCAAAGTGAGTTTACTGTGTCCCTGGACTGTGAGCTCTGGCCCAGGCCTGCTGTCGTCAAAGATTCTCACCTTTGGTCTAATCTCAGTCGGGTGTCAGTGGGTGGTAGGAGCAATTTTGTCGCAGATTCGAGTTCATTCAGCTCCATGGAAAATTTAGTGAATCCATAGTACTGCTCATAATCATCAGGCATTGGATCTTAAAACAGACATAAAAAAAAGAGAATCAGACATTACATCGGGACCTGTTATATATATTATGGGAACAAATATGTATGAGCTCTTGCTCTTGGACAATGCTGAGAGGGCTGGAAATGTGTGAATTGTAATTCTATCCTACTCTTAAAATGCACCATAAACCTGAAAGGTGTTCTTTTCTAGACACGTATAATGTACTGTGTATGCAATGGAGGCAGATATGTCACGCTAATGAACTCTTATAAAAGTAACAGCTGTCTGTGGCTTTGGAATACTTGCAGTTTGTTTCCTGCCACAAGTCTGGGATGTGTCAGTATTTCACTTCTGAAATACAACGGCTAAAGTTCCAACATTATAAGAGCTGGGAACAAACAGCTCAAATCAGTCTTATTATTAAGTCAGTGAAGGGTCTGACTGTGTGACGGAGGGCTCCAGGATTGGGAACCACTGAGCTAATGGAAGTTCACAGCGGGCAGGACGTACAGCTGTATCCCAGCAGACACTCACTTGTCCTCCAGACGCACGTGGTGCTGGGCGGGTCGCCGGAGTACACCGCCTCATTCCACTTCCCGAACAGCCTGTGCACCGCCTTGCCCCTGTGGTCTGTAACTGTGCCCTCGACTTCATTCACGCAGGAGTTCCAGTACTTAGCCTGCAAGCCAGCGGCAGAAAGAACGGACAGCAGCAAAATCAATTCGGAATAATGATTTAGACTGAGACAGAAGAAGTAAAAAATTAAAATGAGCAAGGACATTCTTCTACATTAATTAAGTCTACTCTAAATTGTAAAATGAAACAGGATTATCTCAGGCTTCACCAATGCAGCATTTGGTATTGTCCAGCAGATGGTGGTATGAAGGCTCACGCCACACAACATTCAGTAAACCATCAGAGTAACACACTTTGGATATAATGGACAAAATCTGCAAAATCTGGGGCTCTGGGAGTCTGGGGGTCTGCGGGTTTGGAAGTCTGGGAATCTGGGGGTTTGATGGCTAGGAGTCTGAGAGTCTAGGAGTCTAGGAGTCTGAGAGTCTGGGGGTCTGGGTGATACTAACCCTTCATACTGGCACCCCTCAATTTGCGAATTACTGGTTTATAAATTTTCTCTACAGTGAGGTCCGCAAACATGTACCCGATTCAAAACTTCATTCTGGACTTTTACAGATTTTCAACCTTAAGAAACGGTTTTCTTAGAAGGAATTCCGCTCCTAAGCCGAGGGCTGCCTGCACCTGCGGCGGAGACCGCAAGCGCCCTCTCAGTGCCAGCTGGTGGGCTGCGGCCCGAGAGCGCTGGGCCCGCGCGGCTGGGCCTGTGGCGCGCGGGAGGGCGGCTCCTACCTTGACGAAGGTGACTTTGCACTGGCAGGCGTGGCTGCTGCTGTTCTTGATGGAGATCTCCCCGTAGTGCTCTATCCAGCGCTGCCCGCTCAGGATGTTGTGGATGCACGACGTCACTTTATTCCACTCGTAGTGGTCTCCGAACCTACAGTAGGAAAGGACAGTCGGGCACAGAGAAGTTTAACCCACACCGTGCCATTCCGCTCTGGAAAGTGCCTGATGAAGAGTTCAGACCCAGTGCCCGTCTCAGCAGAGCCAGGACGCAGTCCAGGGTAAACCCTCCCCTGACGGCATGCATTCAACTCTTTCTGTCTTGCGAATCGCACAGTTTCAGCGGCCGCCCCTGTGGGGGGTCCTGAGGCTGAGCTCTGACAGGGAGGCCCAGGTGACGACCCGCGGACAGGCGGGGGTGATTCAGAAGGGAAGGGAGGGAGGCGGGAGGCAGGAATGGCGGAGCCGTGCCTCTGCTTTATCAATACCAGCTCCCTGGCTCATCTATAATGTATCCAGGCCTGCGAGAGAAGAGGCGCAGCAGGAGAATCAGCAGCCAGCAAAAGAGCCTCCTCTGCCTGATGAATAATTAACCAGAAGGGCTGTTATTGCCGAGAGGCACTGAGGAACTTTCACGACGCTCCTCCACTGTCTGTGTAAAAACAGCTCCTGGGAGCCCAGACGCGCACAAAATGGCAGCGATGCAAAATCCACATCACTGCGGGTGTACTTCAGGAACGCGAGCGCCATCCTGCGTTTCAAATCAGTAACGGCACAATTTATTCCTGGAACGGTCTTGCTTGAGCTGAGCATGGGGCCGGGCTCGGAAGGCCGTGCCTGCTGCCGAGGCTGGGCGCCTGTTGGGATACGTTCTCCAGTCCTGTCTGTCTCACAGTCCTGTGGCCACATTTACCACAGCTCCGGGCAGCAGGACGACAGAGACATTGACGTAGCAGTGTGCTCTTTTAAAGGTGCTCCCGTATATAATAATGTCTACTGGAAGACCTACTGTAAGAAAGGTCACGAGAGGAACCATGTGGCCCTTCTGGTCTGGTCGTTAGCTAATTGATCCCAAGATCTCCTCCAGAGATCCTTTCTTAAAAGGATCCAGAATATCAGCTTCATCCACACGGCTGGGAGTCGTGTCCCAGACTCCCACAACCCTTTAAATGATAATTAATCTAAAGTGTCGCAAGCAGAGTTTAAAGATGGGAACCTATTTTTATGTCACAACAGTGAAGTTGTGAATTGAGAATGTGTCTTTTTATGGTCTGGTGCTGGTGAAAGAATCTGCAAAGTGCTGCGGTGCTGGGGCCCAAGGCCATCCGGCCCGGCCTGGACTGGGACTTACGCTGGCAGCATCACGTGTGTTGTCCCAACAGGAACGATCTCCATGGACTTTCCCCAGAATTTGTTTTTCCATCTCATGTCTGAAATGAGAAAGCAGAACCCAGCCGAGCTCAGCACCGCTCCCTGAACTGGAATTTCACACGCTTGTTTTTGAGCCTGGTCCCCGCTGGGCCGGTTTCATGTCTTACAGAGCATTTTTGTTTAGAAAACTTTATTTCTAAATTTGACGGGATACACAACTGACTAACGTTGTGCACAAGCTGACGTTCTTGACATTTGACTAATTCTTATACTACAAATGTCCTTAAGACGTAGAGCGGTGGAAAGAACAATTTTCACTTACCTTGCCAAAAGACAAAGTTTTTCGATTCAGCATGACATGCTGAAATAGGTGGGTGATGACTGACCTAAGACAGAAATGAGCAACAGTACAATTACAGCCTGTCACAGACACATTCACTGCACACAGTGTTTCTGCAGGCTCGGGACAGAGGGTACAACCTCAGCAATAATTAAAAACTTAATTTAACCTACTGTAATATGATAATAATACAACTACTGTGTATCTAATTTAAAACACACTAGCTCAGTGCACTAATTGCAATATTTCAGTACATGCAGGAAACCTACAGTATTTTCCCCACTGCAAAAGTGGAATACCTTCTACCAATGAAGGAAATCAGAGCTGATGACAGATTATGTAGATCTTATTATTACACTACAGGCCAATGCAGTTCCATCAGACTGCTACTGGCTAAATAAGACCAGTTGATCAGCTTCTCCCAGCTGCTTCAAACAGACTTGGAAAACCTGCTCCAGGACCAGGACTGGACAGCTCTGCTGTTGCTCACCAATCTGAAACAGGACAGTGCCAAACGCAGCGCAGCCACACCAGGCATGCTGCAGCTTGCAGAGAGTGAAGTTGAGACCATCACACAGAACCAGTCTAGGCAACATCAGTGAATGTTCTCCAGCGTGTCTCTCCCCGGTTTCCATGCCTTTCTCTGGAATGGAGCATCCAGCATGCAGGCTGTGCGTGGGAAGGAGGTACCTGCTCTGCGATGAACTGGAAGCCTCTGTCGGGCCTGTCGCACTCGTACGTCTCTCCCAGCACGGGGTTGAAGGGCTTGCTTCCCGCTCGGTAGTAACTGGATGCGTATCCTGATATTGCAAAGGTTGCTATGTATACCTGAGAGCAAACACAGAGAACAGCATGGCTCAATAAAAGGGGCGGCACTTTTGATCAGGAACTTAAATGAGTTCAGCCAGAATTTAAATGGAAACAAAGGCAAAGCCTGTTCAAATATTTCTCCAGATCTGTAAATACACTGTGCTGCGGAGAATCCAGACTCCTGGGTCTTTAAAGCAGTTAAAGCGCTGTGAAGGTCTCTCCCTGCCTGCCCAGCGGTGTGGTGCTCAGCACAGCTGCCTCACGGCTCCAGGCCCCGGGTTCAATCTCGGGCTCTGCATGCTGTCCTCGTGCTCGCGTGGGCTCTTGCCGAAGGCTCTGGTGTCCCCCCTCCCAGAGACACGGCCTGCTTGGCCCCCTTTCTCTCGGGACTTTTCCAGCAGGGGATCGGCAGTGTGTCCTCGCTCACAGCTCACACCCCGGGCCCCTGGAATGGGCTCTGGCTCGCTGCAGCCCACAGCAGGACAAGCAGCTTCACATACAGCTGCTTTTCAGAGTGTCACGAGTGCAGTCCTGAGATCTGCACCCCGAGATCTGCACCCCGAGATCTGCACCCTGAGAACTGCACCTCGAGATCTGCACCCCGAGATCTGCACCCCGAGATCTGCACCCCGAGATCTGCACCCAAGATCTGCACCCCGAGATCTGCACCCCGAGATCTGCACCCCGAGATCTGCACCTGAGAACTGTGGACAGTCCTGCTTACAAAGCTGCAACGGCCACCAAGCAAAAACGCTGGGAAGGGGACATTCTGTTTACATCCAACAGACTTGAACCTTGACAAGAAGGTTCACTGGTTTTAGGCGACAGCAAGCACACTGAAGCACTGCAGTGATTACATTAAGGAATGCATGACCAAGTCATGAAAAGCAACAGTGTTTTTATTTGGAAGCCCAGCCTCGTCAGGTCTCGGAAGCTGAGCTGGGTCTGCTCAATGAATCCAGGCTGTGTGAGTGGTGCTGGTGGGCCACCAGGTGGTGCTAATTTATTAGCTGTTCTCAAGTGCCTGACGGCAGTACTTCTTAGAGCAACTCTGGAAATGGTGACAGGCACACAGGCTGCAGTCCTGTAGATGGGTCGTTGGTACTGTGCTTTTAATAAAGTTGTCATTCCCAACTCCGAAACCACAAGTGCCACTCTAGAGCACAACGTGAATTTTGCTAGGAGATTCCATGCTGAAAATGAGAAAACGTTTTTTTACACAAGGAATTGGAATTAGTTAATTGGAAAAAGAAAACTGCATAGGCACATTGCAAAGCATATATTGCTTAAAATTTGGATCACTGTTAGACCAAATAACCTGTTCTGATCATAATTGATTTGTGGTATGGTAATTGTAAAGAATTACTAAGCCTATAAATATTTAGTTTGTGTTTGGAAATGCAGCAGTGTTACTCCAAACATTATGACAGCTTATAAATAAACCTGAATATATCCTTTTCCCATTTTAAGCAATTTATATCAGTTCCTGTTGCAGCTGTGTGTACAGTATCTCTGCCTGTGTGTGTGTGGTGTGTGTGTGTGAGTGAAGTGGGACATGTATATATCTCACTTATCCAGCATCACAGTAAGCACATTGTGAGAGGTGTTGGTGAGGTCTGTTAATTTAGCCACAAACAAAAGTTACACTAAGATGCCATAAAGCTGACTTGCTTTAGCAGCCCCAGTGGCTTAATTCTACATAATAAAAGACAGGAACAACACCCACAAACAGGATAAACCAGACCAATGTCTGCTGCATATCAAAGGACAGAACCGAGAGCAAAACAGAGCAGGACAAGAAGTAATTACCTATCAAAGAACAGGACAAGCACTCAGATTGTGAAACTAACTTTCTACTGACTGTGCTGGGAAACCCTTGCAGTTTGTCTGTTCTGTGGAGCAGACCCGGCACGTGTTGTTGGACTTCTTGAGCTCAATAAAACTGAATCTGCACAAGACTGTGTCCTGCTCCTCTGATGAAGAATTTCCCACAACAGTG